GATCAAGAGTAAGCTAACTTAATCTACAGATAGGATTAAGATCATCCCCTATCCAAATACTGATTTGGATTGGGATAACTCCTAATTAGGAGGTTTCTTAATCAAGAAGAAAAGAGGAGAAACCCTAAGTGAACATAATCAGATTTTCGAACCTAGGGTTGTGTGTAAGCAAGAAAGCTTTCTGCGAATTGAGATAGGATCTCATACACACTCCAGAGAGAAGAGAAGCAATTCAGCCATCTTCGTCTCAGGAGATCTCCTCCAGCTGCCGCCTCTCTTTCTGACAAGAAAGAAGTCAAGAAATCAGTTCTTGACATCAGTCTTGCAGAAAAGACTAAAAAAGATTTGGTGCTCATAGTTTCCAGAGGATTCTTGCGAAGGATCCAGTGTGTAGGACGCACTCTGCTGGTTCCATTCCACCTACAGTTGTGTCATCTTCAGCAGGAGCGGATCTTGGTGTCCTCTTTGGGCGTGAACACCAACTTTGGGAGATACTGCTTCTCTGGATCAGGTATAATTCCTCCATTTCCTTTTGGTTCAGATCTGGTTCGATTATGGTTCAAGTAGGATCCTTGAATATAGTATTTTAAATTTAGGGAATATGATTCCCAGTTGGAAGAAGGTAGGAAAATTTTTGAAATTCGCCCACCCATTCCGCAATCATTTTGGCGTCCATTAGATGGATCCTACCATTCTCTCAAGAAGCTGATTGCAGTTGTGCTTTTTCCAAGAAGTGGGTTCATTAGCTTTTCTCTAGCGCCATCTCCAACAGAAATTGAGGGACCCTTTGCGGCTCCGACAAGCAGTGCTACAAGCTTGAAGGGTGGGTTGATGGTTGTACTTGGGAGCTTGGTGGGGATAGTTTTGTTCTGAAAGGAGGAATAGATCAACTGGGTTTGGTGGGGAACTTCAGGTTTCCATCTTCAGGGGATTATTTCATTCATTTATTGAGTATTTTTGTTGGGAATTTTTGGGCATGAGTTTGTTACAGTTACCAGGATTATAATGAGATTTCTATAGATTAAATCAATATATATATATAAGCAAAAAGAATGTTTTGAAGGCTTGCATGATATCATTCTCTATATTTGGGAACCAGTGGTGAAGCTCTAAAGAGAACCTAAGAAATAAGACCCATTTAAATCAATTGACAAGGATGAGTGCAACACCAGAGATTCAACTATTATAGAGTGCAACACTGAAAATGAGTAACATATGTGATTTTTCTTATCTTTTCCCTTCTTTCTAAACTCCAGACAATTCTTTTTATTTCAAGATTCAGCCTTTAGGAACCAAGATCAATCATTCAGGCATCTGAAATTCTTGAAAACTGGTTAATTCAAGCTTTTTACTAACAAAATTATTAGGTTTCTTCTTGAAAAACCTCGTTCATTTTAGCCTGGAAGTTGCAAGACTTTTTTGTCTTCTCAAGGAACATGGAACTCTCTTGTAGAAAGATCTTTTTTTCTTTTGTTATTTTCTTACACAAATTATTTGTTCGGAAAAACTGTGAACATYTCATCATCTTTTTGTACTCTACTTTCTTTACATGCTTTTCTTTTGGTAACATGCTTTTCTAAGCCTTAGGTCATCAATTTGAGTTGTTCCATCTTTTTACATGTTTTATGTTTTTACTCATTCGGAGTTCCTTTGAAATGCCCCTCCAAATTTAATTTAACAGGGACGCCTAGCCTCCCAATAACAAAAGTGTACCATTGAATCCTCCTTTTTTACGTTTTTTAAAATGCTTCTTAGTTATCCTTGGAGGGTGTTTTTAACTGCTAATGAAAATGTTTAATATAAAGACAATATTGTGGGAAAAGGTAATGGTATGGGAAATGAAAGAAAATAAACACTTAGGATTTTAAGAAAAAAAATCGATATTGTAATTGTGCAGGCCAAAAGGCTCTCAGACAATTCTCTAATTCAGAATGAAAAGGAAAAAAAAAAAGAATCAAACCTAATTTGAAATACTTTTATTGTGGACTGAAACATTTTATAAGATGAAATGGCAAATAGGTAGCACCAAAGTCAATAATACAAGAACTCAAAAAAGTAGGACTTGAACTCACAATTATACAAGAACTCAAAAAAGTAGGACTTGAACTCACAATTTTCTGATTAGAAGTCTGACATTTTTTAGGTTTTATAAAAGAAATACAAAAATGCATTAAGATATAAGTTATATCATGTCAACATCATCATCCATGCCTTATCCCAACTATATGGGGTAGGCTACATGATATAAGCTATATCATGTACTAATTATAATTTATAATTTTTTTAATATTTCATACTTTTTACGAGTAATCAAAAAGTTGATAAGTTGTCTCACAAGAAAAGGATTGATCATTAAAAAATTAAACATTTCATATTTGTTATAAATTAAATCAAATAAATGTATGACAGATGGAGTCAACTCTATGACTTCCTAGTTGACTCCACTACTGGTACTGGACTTGCCAGCAGTAAAATGCTAAATCAGCAAGCCATGCAAGCAAGAACATCCACACCAATCAGCACATTCAATGTGGGAAAACTCATGAACAAGGATCAACTTAATGTTAGAAGGTTTATGACTATTGACCTTGGTACCTCCACACTCCAAAGTGAGACCACAACACTGTGAAACAGATATTCGTGTATCAAATGCCAACATACATGTCAGGAACTGAAGGTTGGTTGGTAAAGATCAAACATGAGGAGAAGAATTACCTCTGTATCAAGCCCAAGGGATGGATGAATCAACCGCTCTGTCACATAGACAAAGCCCTCCCAAGGCATGGAGTATTCCTCAATTCGGCCACTAGACTTTTGTTCTTCAGTATTGGGAAGGGAACCCATGAGATTTTCATCGACCACACATGCCACTGGAACTGACTCCCGCCCAAAGCTTACATCTTCACATAAAACTATTTCTTTCCTCATGGGGATTGATTTGATATGACTGCAATCGATTACATGGTGACATTCATCCATTTCCCACCCCTCACTGCTCATTTTAACTTGTGAAGATATGGATTCCACCAAGCCACTTGGAAGAGGCATCAAGTGGGGATGATTAGAGGCCATGAATGGTCTACATCCTTTAGGACAGATAAAACCTTCTTGGTGCCATTTAATTTCAATATTGAGCTCACTGCATAGTTTAGCTGCTTTCAGGTAAAAACGCTCAGGCAATACTCCATACTTATCTGCCAGTGTAGTCTCCAGAGTTTTCCTGCAGCAACTGGAGCGAGCAATAGAAAGAATCTCAAGGTTATTTGGTCGGAGTTTTGTTTTCTGAGATTCAGAAAACAAGATTTTTGCAAGATTTGAGCATTGATGTTCTTCCAAACTACCAAACCCTGTGGTCTCCTTTACCTGAGTTTGCACTTTTATTTGCCCAGTGCTCACTGAACTTGAGGACTGGATGCGTTTCTTCATACTTAAATTACCCCTATTCTTGATCCTAAACGATGCAGCTCCAAGGCTTTTATTAAAACTAGGACGGCTTAGTCTACCTGATTTTAGCCTATAAGCATTGATGTGAATCCCTCTCTTAGGGGGGCGTTGGTTTATTGCATTAGGATCCATATGAGCTGCTTGATGATGGCGACCAAGATCAGGCAGGAGATCAAACTTCAATCCACAAAACCGACAGATGAACTTCCGTAACTCACCTTGGCTGGTGGACTTATCCTCCACTGCATCTTTATTTTCCACCCCAAGTTTTGGTGGAGAAGCTTGGCTTGTTGAGAGCACATGCTGTTGAGGACTGCCTGAAAGCTTGAAATCCATGGAATGAACTGAGAGGACATGCAACCATAACTGTTCAGGATTAACAAAATGGCTAGCACAAGGTATACATTGAAAAAGGATACATTGTTCAAGGAATTGGACTCCATGTCTCTCTGTCACATGGGTCTCAAGGACTTTCTTATTAGTGAATGAATTCATGCAGATTGCACATGCATACCCTCTGAACAGCCATTGTGCTTCTTTTTTGTGAACATCCATCCAATGGTTACCAAGCCCTTCATCATCAAAAAATTGCTCTGTGCAAATCTTGCATTTAACAGTCTTGTGAACATCTTGACTGCTCTCCTGGCCCACAGACATTAGCACAGCCTGCTCTGTACCAGTAGAGAAAACTGGTTTATTTTTATCATCATCTAAGCCCCAAAGCCTCTTCAATTTCTCTTTTTCATAGGAAACTAATTTCATAAGGTATTCCCCAACACATAAATCTTTAGAAGCTTCAGATAAGATCCACTGAAGTTGAGTCCCCCTAGGAACCGGGTTTCGGAGGGATAGGACACTTTTAACGAAGTTGTAAAGTAGCTCACACGCTCGATGTAAATGCAACTTTTGCGTCCGAGAGCTGCAACCTCGTAGAAGTTCAATAAACACTTCTTTTGATATTATCCGACTCTTACCATTCCTTGCACGTTTGAGCCAGCTTGGAAGATGTTTTTCACAGTACAGTGTATGCAGCCTTGCATTGTCTGGACAAGAATCACTGTTGTTCTGGTGGCTAGATCCAATGCAAAGTTGCAAATCTCCACTATCATCGTCTTTAATGGAATGATCACATTTCCCAATTGAATTCTTATTTGCATCCAAGGTTCTTTGCTCCACAAGTAAGACTGTTTGCTCTCCAACCGGATTTTGCATTTCTGCTGCTAATGTTATTTCTTTGCAATATGTAGTTTCTGAACTAGAAATCTTCTCTATGTCCATTCTCTTATTCACTGATAAACTTGATGAATTTTCAGCATCCATCAGAGACTGACTGTTGTTAAGTCTGTGTTTCTTGCAAAATGGGGAACCATATTGGGACCGATGCTTACATCTTGTGCCATGAGTGGTGGTGCCTTCACACATAGGTGTGTTAACAGGGGTGCCTTGTTCTGCTTGCTCAACTTTACCCAGTGAACGGACAGCCAAATGCACACAACAGTAAACATCACCATCATTTGCCCACCTCCCACATTGCCTCTGCTTGGCTTCAATAAAAGCCATGCATTGGCGGTACTTATTCCCAGGATCCAGTGGTTTTTTACCAACTCCATCCACATGCATCTCTTCTGTTTCTGTGGTTTGCATGAGCTTAGGATTATCAGGTTCAACTACAATTTCTTCCCATCTGCTGGCCACACCATTGGAATATTCTGATGGGACATGTGTCTCAGCAAATGTTTTACAAGGCTCAGATACCAATGCAGTGGCATTTCCAACACCCTGTCTATTGAAAAATTCTGTCTCAATCTCAACAGTGTTATCCTGAGGGGGAACCCCATGAGGTTCCTGGGATTGCACTTGGGGAACATACATGTCTGCACGACGAACTTCTAGCTTAGGCCTTTTCCTGCTAATATGGACATCTGCTACAGTAGAATCATCACTGCTTTGCTGCCCTGTCTCTCTGCCACTTGCTAATGGATGTGACATTGAAAACCACTTCATGACCTCCTGCTTCCAAGTCTTCCACTCAGAGTTCAACTGAGGCTGCACAGGTGCATTCCAGAGTGCTCCAACCTCATTCCACAAGATGGAATTAATTAGTTCCTGTATTAGAAAAAGAAATCAATATTAAAAGGTTATTGAACATATACATGATTCAAATTCCAAAACCACAAATAAATTCCACATATCAGAACATTTTGAAGAAAGAGATTGCAATATATCATCAACGTAAATTATGACTAGCCAAACTATTTAAACCATCCAAATACATGACCTCTTTGGCTACATTAGATTCCATTGGCCAAAAGAAAATGGAAGGATGCCAGTAAAGTTTGAAAATGATTCACATGACTTAGACATAGGATAAAAGGTCAGACCCAATGTTGATCCCAATTATATGGGATCTTGGGAGGGGGGTAAACTGGATACAGACCTAACATTTGGCCTTTTTGCATAAAGTGGCTATTCTCAGACTTGATACCTGCATTCTCATGCTTGCCGGCCTGAGATTTTACCATTGCACCAAGCAATAGTCCCTACGTACTCRATGTTTCAGCAGTAAATAATCCAAGAAAATAAGAAAGAAATATGCAGAAATCAAGAGCAAAGGTTCAGCAAGGTAAAGGAATAAGGAAAGAGAAGAATGAGAGAAAACATTCCCAATGTGAGATCCCACTTCCTTTTATAATAAACTTCTCTAACTACAACTACAATAACTGTTCTGCCCTTAATAAGTCAGGCGAGACAAAAGCCAATAAATAAAAAGAGATAAGGACAAAGTTCACTAACAATCAAATAATATGGCCCAATAACTAACAAATATAAATAGCTCATAAAGAAAGATAAAACAAGCCTAATAAACAATAAAAAGAATAGTTCAATCTCTCAGCACTCCCTCTCAATCTGAGCATAAAGATTAATCATGCATTGCTTGCTAATACTGTTAGGTACTGCCTAACTCAGGGTTCGTTAGAGTGAACCGAACTCCTAAGGGGAGAGAGAAAACTGGAGAAGAGAGAGAGAGAGCTGGATGTTCGAATGGAATTCTTCCCTGATCATTTCTTCCTCTGGTCTTTATAGCCCAGTAAGCTGTTTATAGTTTGTTACAAGACTGTTACATTGTTTTAACTGTCAGCCCACTTGGATTAACTTCTTGCTGATGTGGCTTCCTTTTCTTGTAAACTTAATATGTGGGCTGGCTGTTCCCATATATCGGCCTTGGTTTGCCGCAGCTCTTGGTCTTAACTAATCCCCCCCCCCCCGGTTGAGCTGGACCTTGCCCTCAAGGTCAATGTGGCAGATAGGGTTCCCAGGTTGCATCCTCTTCAGGTAACTGTGACCTGACGACTAAAGCTTCTGGGACAATGTGGGAGCCTTTCTTGACTCACCTGAAATCAGTGATACATACCGGCCCTGTTTCTAGTTCCAAATCACTTAAGAATTTGGGGAGATATGGTTGAGTTATAGCATCTGGTTTCAAGCATTTTTTGAGAACCGAGACATGGAAAACTGGGTGCACTCTCGAATCTGGGGGAAGATACAATCGGTATGCAAGAGGTCCAATCTTCTCCATAATCTTGAAAGGTCCAAAGTAGTGAGGTGCCAGTTTGTTCCATCGCTATTTTTGTACTGAAAGCAACTTGTAGGGGAGCAATTTAAAGTAAACCATGTCACCAACCTGATAGTGTACTTCTCTATGATGTTTATCATATAATTGTTTCATCCATTGTTGAGCCCGGAGTAGGTTGTGTTTAAGTTCTTTTAGGATGATGTCTCGACTCAGCAGGTGTTCTTCAAGTGTAGCTACCGTTGTAGACCCTCTCTCATAGGGAATTAGTGTACACAGGTCATGACCATAAAATGCCCGAAAAGGGGTAATTCCGGCCGATATCTGATAGGTGGTATTGTACCACCATTCAGCCAAATGCAACCAGCTTAACCATTGTCTTGGCTTGGTTCCGGTGAAACATCTAAGTATGTTTCTAAGCAACGAATGACCACCTCTGTTTGCCCATCCGACTGTGGATGGTAGCTTGTAGATTTACTCAGTTGTACACCTTGGAGGCGAAAAAGTTCTTTCTAAAAGAGGCTGATGAAGATTGGATTTCTGTCAGAAACAATAGACTTTGGGAAGCCATGAAGACGAGCTATTTCCCGAACAAAATTGTCGGCCACTGTAGCAGCAGTAAATGGATGTGACAGTGCTAAGAAATTGTTGTATTTTGTAAAGCGATCAACAACCACTAATATGACAGATTTACTGGCGGAGATTGGTAGGCCAGTTATAAAATCCATAGAAATATCTTCCCAAACTTGGCTAGGTATGGGTAATGGTTTCAGCAGGCCCACTGGACTGACAGACCTGGCATGTAGATATGTTTTTCTTTATGGAATTTAGCATGCTCATCCAATAAAACTGGGACAACACCCTCTTATATGTGTGTAGGACTCCTGAATGTCCGTCCATTGGTGTCACATGGAAGTAATTCAGTAGTTGGTCCAAAAGGGTTAAGTCCGTTGGTAACACCATCCTACATCTATAAGGTACAGCATTGACCCTTGGACAGAATACCCCAGTTTGATACTCGGTTGCTGCAACAACTGCGCCTTTATTGCTTGGAGTTCCTTATTATTGTTGGCTTCCTCCCGTAATTGGTCCCATAGTTCTATAGTGGGTTGTTGGAAGTTGGAACACGTGCAATTGGAGTAGGCTCTCCGCTAGTTGTTTGGGTTGACGTGACAGTACATCAGCAACTCTATTTGTTGCCCCGGGTTTGTATTCAATAGTGTAACCGAAGCCCATTAACTTTGAAACCCAATGCTGTTGGCCTGGAAAAAGGACCCATTGTTCCAATAGGAATTTCAGACTTTGGTGATCAATCTTAATCACAAACTTACAACCCAATAAGTAGGAGCGCCAGTGCTGAACTGCCAATAAAACCGCCATCAATTCCCGGTTGTAGACTGAAGAGTGATCTTGAGTGGCAGATAAGGCCTTACTAAAGAAGGCAAGGGGTTGCCCGTCTTGCATTACCACTGCTCCCATGCCCAGTCCCAACACATCGCACTCAACCACAAAAGGCTTGTTGAAATCTGGTAAAGTTAGGGCTGGTGGGGACAACACTGCTGCTCTTAAGGCTTCAAATGCTACTTGAGCTTTGTTATCCAATTGAAAGAGTCTTTCTTCAGAAGGGCTGTTAGTGATGCTGCAATTAACCCATAGCTTTTAATGAAACAATGGTAGTACACCATCAGTCCTAAAAAGGCCCGGAGTTCCTTAATGTTACGTGGTGCTGGCCATTCTTGAATGGTAGATATCTTGTCCGGATCTGCTGAGACCATTCCATCTTCCACCACATGGCCCAAATAGTGTACACGGGCCTGCCCAAAGGCATATTTCGATTCTTTGGCGTACAACTGATTTTGTAAGAGAATGTCTAAAGTAATCTGCAAATCCACTAAATGTTGGGCCCATGTTGGGTTGTACACCAAAATATCATCAAAAAAAGACTAATATGAAACGACGCAAATGTGGCCTAAACAAGTCGTTCATTAAGGCTTGGAAGGTTGCCGGGGCATTGGTGAGGCCAAATGGCATAACCCGGAACTCATAATAGCCATCATGAGTCTGAAACGCCATTTTTGGAATGTCACTTTCATGGACTCTAATTTGATGGTATCCAGCCCGTAAATCCAACTTCGAGAAGATCCATGCAGTCTTGAGTTCATCTAGAAGTTCATCTATTACCGGAATCGGAAAAGGGTCCTTAACTGTAATATTATTAAGTGCCTGCTAGTCCATACAAAATCGCCACGTCCCATCTTTCTTCTTGACAAGAACAGGTGACGAGAATGGGCTATGGCTGGGTTGAATAAAATTTTTATCCAATAATTCTTGAACTTGTTTTTCAATTTCTTGTTTTTGAAAATAGGGATAACGGTAGGGCCTTACATTGGTAGGAGACGCATCCGGCAATAGTGGAATTCCGTGGTCATGACTCCTGATTGGGGGTAGATTCGCTGGCTCCTTGAAGACTGCAGCATATTGCTGGAGAAGATTACTGAGTTGTTGCTTGTAATCAGTTTGAGTCAATGTATCCTGAGCCTTGGATAATGTTGGGCATGTATGATTTAATCCCTTGATAATGGGCTGATTTGGGTCCCGTGCTTCTTTCAACAAGGATGACAAGCTTACTGAGCTGGCTCAGCTAGCTGAGTGGCCTTGTAAATGTAATCTTGTTCCTCCTATCATGAAATCCATAGACAAATGGGCCTAGTTGCATAGAACCGGCCCAAGTTGCTGCAATCATTGAATCCCCAATACAATATCGGCTCCACTTAACTCCAGTGGGTAAAGATCAACCACAAATTGTTGATCTTGAATGCATAACCCAATGTCTATGCAAATTCCATCACATTGAAGTGAGGTCCCATTAGCTACATGGACCTTAAATGAGGTTGTGGGCTGAACTAGTAACCCCAGTCGTTTGACTAGCACTGTGGTTACAAAGTTTAGGGTGGTTACAAAGTTTAGGATGATACCACTATTGATGAGGATAGACACTTGGCGACCCCGAACTAGTCCTGTCACCCTCACAGTTTGGGATGATGAAAACCCAACTAGGGCCTGTAATGAAATTAAAGGTTGTATGGCCTCAGGCCAATTTTGTTCGCCAATCGTTGATCTTTCCTCTGGTTGTCGATCATCTTCTTCATCCTCAATCTGTAATAAGAAGGCTTGTTGAGACTTGCATCTATGGCCTGGGTCGAACCTCTCTTCGCAATTGTAGCAAAGACCTTTGTCTCGGCGATTCTGCATCTCTACTCAAGTTAGCTTCTTGAATGGAATAACGGGACTTGGGCCTAAGTTACCTGGTGGTTTTCCTAAGATGTTGCCTTCTTTATTGAGTCTCGTCCCTCCCAGTCTTGGTGCTTTAAAGATTTGTTCGTCTGCTGCCATGGGCCGTCTAGACGTCGAGCTTGAGCTATCTTTTCTTCTTAGGTGTGGGCTAGGGCTGTTGCGGCCATCACAATGGATGGATGCATCGCCTTGACCTCTCCAACCGTATTTCTTCTTTGAGTCCTCCCACAAAAGCTCCGACCAATGCCTTCTCCAGCCACCCCTAGACTCTCAACGATAGACATTCAAACTCCAAATGGTAGTCACAGATGCTTCCTACTTGTTTTATCTTTGCGAGGCTCTCATCAAAATCTTCATAAACCGAAATCCCCAAATCGGACACACAGGGCATCAATGAAGTCAAGCCACGAAATACAAGGTGCCTCAACGATACCACCGATACCAAAGGATTGTGTATCCATCCAAATGCATTGCCACGAGTGCCACTCTATCTGGTTTGGACACCTCGTTGTACTCGAAGAATCTTTCCGCCCTTTATATCCAAGGAATGGGGTCTCCTGAGAAGACCGGAAAGCTTAGTTTCATGTTCCTTTCCAAGGTGGAGCTACTTCTTCGGCTACTCCCCTAGGTCACCCTATTTTGGTTGATTTCTCTGTCTTCAACCAGCGGGTTCTATTCTAGCCTTTGCAAGATTTCTGCCAGTGCATCCTTGATTCCTCACACATCGTCAGAGACATGGACAAGCTCGACCTCCACCTGATCAACTCGTGCCTCCATGGACATAGCTCAAGTATTGGTCATCAGCTCTGATACCAAACTGTTAGGTACTGCCTAACTCAGGGTTCATTAGAGTGAACTGAACTCCTAAGGGGAGAGAGAAAACTGAAGGAGAAGAAAGAGAGAGAGAGAGAGAGAGAGAGAGAGAGATGGATATTCAAATGGAATTCTTCCCTAATCCTTTCTTCCTCTGGTCTTTATAGCCCAGGTAAGCTGTTTACAGTTTGTTACAAGACCGTTACATTGTTTTAACAGTCTGCCCACTGGGATTAACTTTTTGATGATGTGGCTTCCTTTTCTTGTAAACTTGACATGTCGATTGGTTGTTCCCGTATATGGGCCTTCGTTTGCCACAGCTCTTGGTCTTAACAAATACACTATTGGAACTTTCTTGTGCACTTCTTTGGTGAAGGCAAGGTTCAAAGTATCGATACAATACGCCCGATACAGGGCATATCGTATCACATCTTTAAGCCTCAATACACCTATTTATAGGTCTTTTTACAATCTCCTTTTTTACATTAAATAATGTATATAATTATACTTAAAACTAAAATTTAAAAAAAAAAAAAAACTAAAAAATAATAAAAGGCGAATCAGTTAAAGTACTGATTTGAACCATGGGTGAAGGCCGCCAGTATCAAAGGAAGACAAGCCTTTCCAAAGGTCATATGCTCTCTGATAAAATGTTTGTTAACTTTTTTTTTTTTGCTAATTAAACACAACAGCAACAAAGCAAATACAAGCAGTCAAGCTAAGCATGTCAGTATCAAAGGATTGAAAGTCACATGCCCATTCAAGCAGTCATTTCAAACATAATGTTTGTCAACTTCAATGTGTTTTGTTCTGTCATGTTGTACTAGATTATGGGCTATATTGACAGCAGCCCAATTATCATAATACAACATCATATGCCTATCATTATCAATCCCAAGGTCCTCTAACACGTGTTTCAGGGATCTGCAGTACTTCCCAGCAGGGTTCCAAACTCCATCAACTGCTTTTGATCACCTCCAGTAGACTCCATTACTTCAAATTACAACAAATAACTCGAAAACATATCAAGAAACAATATCGTGTATGAATCCTGACTTATAGTCAACAAGCAAGACTATCTCTCAGGGTTGCCCAACCCTAGCACCCATGGGACAAAAGAGAAACTGGAACTGCTCGCTCCAGACTCTCCAAAACTCAGATTGATGGCTGTCGATCTCAACTATGGTGAAAGGAGAACTAAACAAACCCCAATTACCAGCCCCAATCATAGATAATAACCCTTATCATATGATCAAAAACTCTGACTTATTCTGGATTCTTGGGCAGCAGCACTAGGAAGTGCTTCTAGGCTACAAAAATAACCTTGCTCTTTTCCAAAAACCTCTACTAGTCAGGCGACAAGAATAAGAGTGGTCAGAAACTTCAATCACCCATGTGCACTGCTGATCCTAGTGATACATGGGTCTAACATGCAAGAGAGAACCTCAGCTCTGATACCAACTTGATGTTTCAGCAGTAAATAATCAAAGAAAATAAGAGAAAATGTACAGAAACCAACAATAAAGGTTCAGAAAGCTATAGGAAGAAGAAGAGAGAAGAATGGAGAAAAAGGATGAGACAAAACACATGGTGTTTGGTTCCATTGCCATTTATCAGAAAATTAATGCCAGCTCAGCGCCAAATAGGTGTTTCCCCCAAATGGATTCTGAAATTTTGTTTGGTTAAGTTGCTTATCAATAAAACATTGTTCTCTGGTTGTGAGAGCCGTCATTGGAGGAAACGTCATTTTGACGTTTTCCCCAACAGAAGTGTTTTTTTACTCTTTGGCTTATGTCATGCCTAATGGCACCTAGTTGTCATAAAATAACAAAAAACATTGCCCTGATTTTCAAGGGAAAATTTGTACAAAACATTTTTCTGATAAACAGCCCCTAAATTATCAGAATTGAGGTAGCTCATGCAATGTGCTATTAAAAGCTTCATTTCTTATTTTAGGTGAGATAATCAGGTGAATGTTCTCTCATTCACTAAATTGCATCTTAAAGTGTCAGCATGAGGTCTTTCATAAGTTCCAACTTAAGCATTATCCTAAATGACGTATCATATTTTATCCTTCCTAGGAGTAGGCAAGTAGCCCTAATATGTTATAAAATGAGGGAAAGTGGATTAACTGGTTTGGTCATGCAGAAAAGACCATCTACAGCACCAGTGAGAAGTGATCTGTTACAGGTTGAATGGTTTATAAGAACTAGGGGAAGGCCAAAAAGGACACAGGTTCAAGTAGTGAAAAATAATTTGGGGGCACACACTGTAACAATGGATATGGTACTGAACAGAGTGGAGTGGCCGAACAGGATTCGTATAACCAACCAACCCCATATAGTTGGGACAAGGCTTAATTGAACAGAGTTATAAGGTCTTATGGTGGTATCAATTTTTCGGCTTGAAAAAAGTACTGAGGTGGTACACAATGACAATAGGATGGGTGTACAACCTTCTCTGAAGGTCCATATAGCCTAGAGTGAACAGTTTGTTCAATTGGTTTCCTAGATTGGCAAAGTCTATTATGAGCTACAACACCTAGATACCTGTATGGTAACATCTCATATTAGACACTATAACACCCATATCATCCTAATTCTGAAAGACTAGGAGGGGGAACTACATATGCCACAATAAATTACAGAACACAGTACCAGAATGCAAAAATAAAAAATTAAAAATAAAGCCTGCCTGGAAACATCCTTCAAACAAATTTACAGCCACCAAGAAATTAAAAAAAAAAAAAAATTGCATGTTTGATCCATAAACACAAAATATACCAAGAATATTTTACATAAATGTAATGAAAAATCAGGACAATCACCTCTTTCAGCAATTCAACTGATTCAGCACTTTGCGCATTCTGACATTGCTGTGCCCAAGAGTCAAAAGAATGTTGTAGCCAATCAGGGCTTATGAAACGCTGCAATATCATCTGTAATTTAAAGAAGCAATGATACTTTAATTTCGATGTATTTATAATACTTAATAAATGTGATGATTCTATAAAAATAGTACTAGAGAAAGTACAATTACAGCAGGCAAATTAAAAAAAAAAAAAAATCAAGGTCTCAAGTCATAGAGAAAGCTTGCAATAAAAGAACACTCCAAAGGGAAATTTGTAGGACTCATCTTTCCATGTTATTCATCAAGACATTTTTAAGCTAAAAATTAACAAAATCAGATTGTCAAAGAGCAATTTCTCCCATCCATCTATCAGAAAAATTGTGCTAAATGGTCAGAGACAAAACCAAATGATTACAATGACCACATCAAGTTGGTTCTAGATCCAAAAGAAGTTGTTGGATTGAACCTACCAAATGGTGAACTACTTCATCTGTTCATGACATGGTAAGATGTTCAAGGAGTGTAGTAACAAACTCTGCTTTTGATATCACAGGGCATTGAAAAAAGAAGCCAATGACAGGTTTTTCCACTATTTCAGACAAGGTAAAGGAAGCCGGTGAGAGTGCTCCAGAAGATATTATCAGTTAAAGAGGCAGTGGATCAACATCTTATGCTAAGCGATAATGGGAATTTGGAGGAACGGATGGAGACAGCTAAGACGGGAGAAAATTCTGATGTGGAAGGTGATACAAGAAATGGCTTTTACTTCACTGATTCGAAGAGTAAGGTCCTTTCCAGTGAGACTGGCAGTAGGGAGTTGGGTCAGGAGATGGAGGGAGTTACAAGTGTCATGGATCCTGAACAGGTGTGTGAGGAGGAAGATTTGAGGAACTCAGTCCTAATAGGAACATTGGGGGTGGATTTAGGTAGGAGAAGTGAAGGCATTTTGGAGAATCCTAATACTGACTATTTCACTGTAGGGGAGTTGAGAAAATCAAGAGGGTTGGGCAATGGGCAGCTTGTTCATGTGACCAAAGTTTTCCATTGTCTCAAGGAAGGGCTTGTTGGGGACGGTCCTTGTTGCAGATTCAAGAGAATTTACAAGAGGAAGGGGTCGAAAATCAAGGTTAGAGGTCAGAATTCTTTAAAGGATAGAGGTGGAGCTAATTCTTTGGAAGTAGGCTCAGTCAAGAAGGCACCACATTTAGTTTCAATTAATCAAAAAATTGAAGTCTCACCAGGGAATAAGGGAGAAAGAAATAGTATAAAGTTTACTGAAGAGAATGAAGGTGAAGAGAACAAAGTTGGGAAGGAGGACGTGGAGGAGGTGACTGTTGATAGAATGGGGAAAGGTGAAAGGACGGGAGATTTGAAAAAAAAATTGTGGATGTGAATGTTCAGGTTGAGGACGAAAAGGAGGACTTATCAACCTTGAGGTCGAAATCTGATTCTAGAACAGAGACAGCCTTTCTGCTGAATAAATCCAAGCCCAAGAAGGACTTATCCTGAGTTCAGTGTTATGAATGTAAGGAATATGGACATGTTATCTCACACTGTCAGAAGAAAATTTTTTGTACCTACTACAAGCAACATGGGCACATTATTCCTGAATGTCCTACCCAACCAGCAAAGGGGAATGGTTCAGGCTCTAAGAAGAGTCAACATAAGGCTTTCCAGACAACAATTGAAGGTGCTGATACAGGGAGTACAACTTCAGCAGGAATGGATGAAAATTCCGGGGCCCTTACAGAAGAAAGAATGCGGCAACTAGTATCCTCAGCTACTTCCTCTGCATTTTCAGCCATAGGTCTCTCTGGTGAGTCATCCTATTATTGTTCCTCTCCTAGTCACTTATGGATCATTGGTTCCAGGGCCTCTAACCATATGACAAGGGCATACACTGATCAATCTGTGTTCTAAAAGCGCAAGGCACAAAAAAGGCACAGAGGTCAATTTGCACCCGAGGCGCGCACCTTTTTGAAGCAAGGCACAAAAATAAAAAAATGCTAAAAAATCAAAAAAAAAAGTCAGAAAATTCAAAAGAAATGCCAAAAATTCAAAAACAAAATCAAAAAATATTAAACATAATATTAATAAAAAATATAAACTTAAATTTTAAAATAAATGTTTTAAAAAACCTATTATGTAAAATTAAAATACATAAACATAAGATGTAAAGCATATTCAAATGAGAATTTAAAAATAAAATCAAGCATATAAAACATTTTCAAGCATGTAAAACCTCTAATCTCTTTTTTCACTCAATTGCATTACTTCAAGTAGCTAATGTAATGTAAAACATATTACATTCCTTATTCTACAAGCCGCCTTTGTGCCATGCCCCTCGAGGCAAGCCCAAACAAGTCCATGTTAGGTGTTAAATTCTTAGTTCTCATACAAAAAAAGTAATGAATTTATAATTTTAATTGCCTTTTAAGAAAATATTTTATTATGATGAATGAATAAACAACATTTGCAAATAGGGGGTTCTTGGAGCCCTCAGCCCAGCCGCTATGTTCAAAAAAAAGCAAAAAAGCATCAAATTTTCAAAAGGTGCACGCTTGGGCTGAGGCACAAGGCGCACCAAGCATGCGCCTTTTGAAAGGACTGCACCTAGGACCTAGGCGAAGTGCATACCCTAAAATGCACCTCGCCTATGCGCCTAGGCACGCCTTATACATCACTGGTTAAACCCAAATCTTTGAATAAACATATCATTACTGCTAACGGAGAGAAATTAGATATTGTTGGATGCAATGATTTGTCTTTGTTTACATCCGTTAATTCCTGCTTTCATCTACCTAAAACTTTCTTTGTTCCTAAACTTACAACAAATTTGATCTCAGTTGGTCAGCTAGTTGAGGATGGTAACATTGTTTCCTTTTCCCATGATGGTTGTTTCATACAAGACCAGCGCACTGGGACAGTAAAAGGGAAGGGGCGTAGAATGGGTCGGCTATTTGCCTTGGAATTTGAAAAGACACAGGGGCCTTCTTCCACATCTTGTTTGCTTACTACTACACCTAGTTCTGAAGTTGTTTGCAGAAATAATGTGTGGCATTTGTGGCATAGGCGACTTGGTCATCCCTATGCAAATAAACTTGAGTTTTTGTTTCATGTTGGTTTTTTGTCTTCTAAAGCTACTTCTTTTAATAATGTTGATAAAAATTGCATTTCTTGTTGCTTGAGTAAAAGCCATGTTTTAACTTTTCCCTCTRTTACTGAGCATGCTTATGTTCCTATTAAACTAGTACATAGTGATGTATGGTCATCTCCAGTTGTTTCCAGGTTGGGATATAAATATTTTGTTACATTTGTTGATGACTATATTCGCTTTACCTGGTTATATTTCTGAGAAACAAATTTGAAGTTTTTTCTACCTTTAGATCTTTCTTAGAAAAGATCAAAAACCAATTTGATGCAAACATTGGGGTTTTCCATTCAGACTTGGGGGGTGAATACCTTGATGGAGACTTCCAAAATTTTTTTAGAGACGATGGAATTCAATCCCAAAAATCTTGTCCCGGCACTCCACAACAAAATGGAGTGGCAAAGCGCAAAAACAGACATATCTTGAGCATAGTTCGAACCCTTCATCATGATTCCCATGCTCCTACTTCATTCTGGGTGGAGGCGGCCAGCACTGCTTTGTATCTTATTAGCATTCTTCCCTCATTTGTCTTGCGTAATACCTCTCCTTTTCAAAGCTTGTTTCATCCTTCACTTGATTTTTCTATTCTTCATGTATTTGGTTGTGCTATTTTGTTCACCTTCCACCACATGAGCGCACAAACCTTACTCCCCAATCAGCAATGTGTGCTTTTGTGGGGTATAGCCCTGATCATAAGGGCTTCCTTTGCTATGATCCTCAGTCACGTCGAGTTCGTGTATCCTGCAATGTCATCTTTCTTGAAAACATTTCCTTTTTTGCCCGCATTGTTAAGTTGCCTGCTACTTCCATTTCGATGTTGTACTCTTTTGATTCTGCACGTTCTTCTAATTCACCTCCTCTTCCAAAATTGCTCCATGTCTATTCTAGGAAGAGGCTAGCTACTCTGGCTCCTATTGCTCTGCCCCCTTCATCACCAAAAGCTGATCCATCAAACCTAGCCACAAGTTCCTCTTCTTCTCTTGATCTTATAAGTACATCTACACCTATCCTTGATCCCCAACCATCCTCTGATCCCCCTTTACGTCGTTCATCTCGTGTTTCTCGCTCTCCTAATTGCCATAGATTTCCTTCAAACCATAGCTCATTTTCTGTTGTTTTGTCTATCACATATATTCCCACATCTCACTGGAAGGCTATGGTTGTCCCGCATTGGAAAGAAGCCATGGATACTGAGCTCCAAGCCCTTGATAATGATACTTGGGACATGGTACCTACCCCTCCAGATGCCTCTCTAATTGGAAGCAAGTGGGTATATTCAGTAAAACTCAATTCTGACARAAGCCTTGATAGATACACGACACATTTGGTGGCACAAGGGTATAAGCAGGAGTATGAGATAGATTATGATGAGACATTTGCCCCTGTAGCTAAGATGACCATTGTTCGTCCATTGTTGGCTATATCTGCATGTAAACACTTGGAGATTCATTAGATGGATRTCAAAAATTCTTTCTTACACGGAGACCTCAAGGAAACTGTTTATATGAAGCCTCCACTAGGACACTACAACGGTTCTCCCTTGGTATGTCGACTTAAAAAGTCCTTGTATGGTCTTAAACAAGCCCCCAGGGCATGGTTTGAGAAATTTCGTTCAATGATCATAGATGCAAGATTCATCCAGAGCCCCTCAGATTATTCGCTGTTCATATTGAGACATCCCCAAGGAATCACAATATTACTTCTGTACATGGATGACATTCTTATCACCGGTGATGACAGTCAAGGCATTTCTTCTCTGAAACAGCTTCTTAGTCAGGAAGGACCTTGGTCATCTCACTTATTTCTTAGGGCTAGAAGCTACTCACTCTTCTCACAGGTATTTTGTTAATCAACACAAGTATGCAATGGATCTTGTCAAATCTGCAAACCTGAGTGATGACAAATAGGTTGACACACCTCTTGAGATGAATCTGAAACTTTCGAAGGAAGATGGGGACCCTCTACCAGATGCTACTCTTTATCGACAGCTTGTTGGTAGTCTGATTTACCTCACCATGACACATCCCGATATCTCTTATGCTATCCAAGTGATCAATCAGTTCATCTCTTCTCCTCGACAACCACACATGACAGCGGTTCTTCGCATTATCAGATACATCTGTGAAACTCTTTCACATAGCATTTTCTTTTTTGCGTCTTCTCTTGGCTTATCCGCCTATGCAGATGCTGATTGGGTAGGATGCCTAGATACTAGACGTTCCACTACTGGTTTGTGTGTTTTTCTTGGTGACTCTCTCATATCCTGGAAGTGTAAAAAGCAACCGATTATTTCCAAATCCTCTGTCTGCAATGAGATTATATGGCTAAGAGCCCTCCTTGATGACCTTGGGATCTCCTTGTCATCTCCAGTTCCTATTTATGCTGATAATGTGAGTGCTATCAAGATTGCATCCAACCCTGTCTTCCATGAGCGAGCCAAGCATATAGAGGTTAATTGTCACTTCATTAGAAATCAGTTTTCTGCTGGAAACATATCTTTGCCACACGTGTCTTTTGCCCTACAGCTTGCTGACTTATTCACAAAGGCTATGACTCGTGCTTGCCACCAGTTTCTAGTTGACAAACTGAGGCTCATACCTCGGCATCAGTTTGAGGGGGGTGTAAAGACTGATTTATGTCTCTTACATCTTTCCTTTTTTGGCTCTTGGGACCACTCTTTTATGTTGTAACTTGTATACACTATTCTTTTGTTTTATTCATTTTTGTAAGAGAAGGACAAATCCGTCCTTTCCATAACTTTGTACACTTTCATATATAAGTTAATCTTTTCTAGGCGTGTGACTCACCAGAACATATCCTTTCATTTTCTAGTGTTTCCTCTCTGCTTCAAACCGAGCTGATAGCCTACAATCATCTAACTTTTCTTTCATAAAGAACATAACACTTGGAATTTGAGAAATTGTTTCAGCAATAGGAAGAAGAGATAGTATAGATTGATTTAGGCAAAAGATTAAGCAATCAACCCTCCCAATCAAATTTATATTAATATGAACAAATTTACAAAATACCTGAGCACATTATCACTCACACAATACCACCCCTCAAACAAGGCCCCATGCTGTGTATAGAAGATATTAATCATGCCCACCTTGTTGTGACTATCTGCAAACTTGGACTTAACCACACCTTTAGTTAATACATCAGCTAGCTGATTTTCAAACCCTACGAAAGGTAGACACACTTAGCTGTAACTTTCTTCTAGATAAAATGATGATCCACTTCAATACTATTGATCCTATCGTGTTGTATAGAATTATCTGCACCATTGTTTGTCACCTTGTTGTCACAATAAAGTTTCATAGGACGAACTAAAACAACACCCAACTCTCCCACTAGGATTTTCAACCACAACCCAGATGCCACACCATAACCCTATTATCAGCTTCAGTACTTGAGTTTTTTTTTTATCAATAACACTTTCATTAGATCATCAGTAGAAAATTTACAAGTGGAAGACAAACACACTTATCTTCCAAGAGCCACAAAGAGCTTCAAGAAAGGAAAAAAGAAAAAAAAGACACTAACGTTACAGCTTAGCCCGAAACAGTGAATCCCTTTCTGCCCCTTGTTTAGCTAAACCATCAGCTAGGGAATTAGCCGATCTTTTAATCCAACATGTCTTAACTTCCATCTCCCGCACCAGCCACTTGAATTTCCTCCTCTCATTATTGTACTTCCATAAACCATTTTGATCTTTAGTCAGCCACCCTATCACCACCTCTGAATCCCCTTCAATTATGAGTTTCTTGATGTTCAATTCCTTAGCTTTCCAGACTCCTTCCATAACTGCAAAGATCTCAGCTCTAAGGGAGTCACCCACTCCAATTGGGCCTGAAAACATGGCAGAGATGAGCCCATTTTCATCCCTAAAAACACCCCCAATCTCTAATTGTCCTGGATTTCCCCTAAAGCACATTAACCTATCCAAGAAACCACATATTAGGTTTTTACCTGAAGTAAAATGCTTGTCAATTGTCATCAGTTGAGCCAGCCCAATTTGCATTTGAGTAGGCTTTAACCTATAGATGATTGTGGTAAGAATAAAGAGTTCCTTTCCCTAATGAGCCACTTTTTTTACATGATTGAGGACTTCTCGTCTTCCTTTATAGTTTGTAATTAATACAATCATTTTTACCACTTATCAAAAAAATGAGCCACTCAATGAACAAAATAGTGGTTCAGACATAAAATCCAACTTTTTTTATCAGTAACCAACAGACATAAACTCTAATTTCTGAAGCAACTCTAAATTTCCACTACTAATCTTCCAAAATAGAATAGAAACTAGAAGACCCAAATCCTATCACCAACTGATACCATATAAGCAAAATGGTCATGACTCTCTTAAAACACATTAAATTCACAAGATCTTGGTCAAGTCAGATAGTAAGGGTACAAATGAAGTATATCTAATGAGACCAAAATCAAGTCAAATGAACAGATTTTCAACCCCTCCCCCTTCTGCATTATAGTACCAACAGTTTTTTTATTGTTATTATAGTACCAGCAGTTTTTTTGTCTAATAAAGAGTAGAAGTCTCTAGGTGTTTTTCTTAATTCACTTCACCAATAAAGAGAAAGTATATTTGCATGAGAAAAAAGATGCAAACATGCTGCATAACCGTAGATATGTAGTAGGCATTGTAGAATGCATAGGAAAAAAAAACTCTCCAACAGATTCCACATGGATATTTCATTGCAAGCCATTCATTAGGAAGTTTGTCATCTGGAAGAGTTAAAATGCTCTAAGTATTTCAAAAGCTTCAACTCTTCAAATGGAAATAGGAGCAATTAAAAGCACACTAATGGAAAGACAAACAGACCATTACTATTTTCAAAAGACTAATTATCGGTCAAAGCAAATTCAAAGAAGGGAATTTACACTCTGAAGCTTCAAAAGCATCCTTCCAAGATCAGAATAACCTTTGCAACGAGAGGCCTCAATGGCAAATTCTTTCCAGGCTGTCACTTTGCGAGCACTCTCTACCACAGCCTGATCAAGATCATCAGAGAGAATAAAACATAAGAAAGAAATGTAATAAAAGAAAAGGAACCTTGACCACCGATTCTTACCTCACTATGTAGCTGTTCGCTTATATTCAGCATGGAGACAGCAAGCTTTTGCATGATGAAACGGCGTGGAATGGTCAAGTCTTTGACCATTTTCACACCAGCGTAATGTGTTCTATGAGCAATGGGCTCGGGGAACTCATGGATTGAACGGACAAGTTGCATGTCTGCCCAGGAATGGTTCCTAGTGCGGGGGAAAAATACCACAAAATATTTCTTTCTATCATGAGTAGGCTTTGCTTTCAATGTTGATAATGGACAATCAGCTCTTGCACATTGGAAACCTGCTTGCCACTTCCCTCTCCACTGTATTTGAAAGAAAAAGAAACGTCAAAGTGGCAAGCTGCCTTTTTTATTAGAAACTGAAATTCTTCTAATTATGGACAGTAATTATGAATGTCTAAATGCTTCTATGCAGCCCCATAGATAGTCCAGTACCTTCAACTTATCCCCTTACATAAATTTACACTTTACAATCGGATCCAAAAGATTTGATCCCTATTCACCTCTCATTTGGCTAAGGCATTAGCCAAACTATTTGCCAATCTTTTGTAGCCACCAAGTTGTGACCTCTAGACTCCTAGTCAGCCATCTAATTTCTTTTAGTTATTGTCTATAACACCACACAGCCCAATCACTCTGTGTTAGTACTCTGCCCTTTTTTTTATCAGCAAAGAAGAATTTTATTTGAAATTAGAGTTAAAAAGTGTTACAACTTTGTGTATGGGGTTAGAGCTCCCACACTATAACATATTTCTGTCCCTCCTTACATTGCAGCCCAAAACAGTTGGTGCCTCAAAGCCCCTTGTTTAGCAAGATAATCAGCTAGCCCATTTGCACTCCTTCTAACCCATTTAAATTCAGCCTCTACCTCCCTTGCGATCTTTTCCACTTCCCTTATCACTTGTTTGAAAGTCCACGGGATAGTTCTATTGTTTTTAGCCCATTTGCACTCTGCCCAATTTTGCCCAATGAGTTGAAAATTAAGTAAAAAAATAAAGAAATAAAGATACACAAGGCATCCCCCGAATGCAGAATCTTCACCAACAACACAAAAGTAATTTATACAGTTACACCTGGGCTTTGAACTGAAACTTCTCTGGATCATTTTCCAAACTTTGTAACCAATGAAAAGAAAGGCACACACTGCATTGTCACTATCATCTGATAAGATCAACTTAGCAAACAAGATCTCCTTGTGGGTGATGTGTGGAAGAGGTCCAGCCCCTTGGGAGTGTGCTGCATGTAAAGGTAGAGTTTTCTCATGTTTTAAATGATTTATTCTTTTTTATTCCAATGCAAGAAAGCTTCATGGATGCATCACTAATCATAAAATATAGGTATAAATGCCAGAATACATGGTTGAAATATCTAGCTTCCATTTCACTGTTTAGGATACTAAAGTGGATAATAACATATCAAGGTCAAACATGGAAAAAATCTGGAAATACAACAACAAAACAAAAGTAGATACCTTCACCCATAAAGGCACAGTTTCATCTTCTTCTGGACACCCAGCTTTTGGAAGATGAGATTCTCCCTCCTGGGTGCTGCTAGGTGGGGCACCTTCAATCTTATCCATAACGACACGTGGCTTTTCAGAAGCTAGGCAAGATTCTGTGCTTTCCTTTTGTTCATTCAATTCCCGTTGAAAACCATGGAAGTTACTAAGTTCTTGCCCGTCTTCCTTGTGTTCATAATCCAAAATTCCATTACAAGCACCCTCTGAAGCAGGTGGTCCATCTCCTCTCCCTTGATCTCCATTTGATCTATCTTTTTGAGACCCCTCTGCACTGGGTACAAGGTCACCCGTGTTATGCATACAGACAAATACTTGAGCTTGTTTTCCCTGTTCAAGGCAGTTCAATTCTCCACCATATATAAAAGTTGTTACTGCACTCCGTTTAGGGCAATTAGATTCTCCAACATACTGGACATCTGAGCATGAAAGCACTTCCATAACTCCACGCTAATATCTCAAATGCCATCAAATGTCTAACTTGTATGAGATTAGGCTCCACTAAACTCCACTGCTCACACAAAACTCAACCCAATAGAAATGTCAGGTCAAGGATGTAGGACCAAACACTATAGGTATTTAAGTTATGGTTTCAAGAATAATTTCCTTTCACTTGACTTAATGGCACAATGCAATACAATGCCAACATTAGCAAACAAAAATATAAACAGAAGGAAATATCATATAGCTTCAGATAACATCATAAATCTTCTGCATAGAATTTGAGTGGACTAGTAATATATCCCCCTATAAATAYAAAGATAATAGCAAGATCCAGAAACTCATGATTCGGTAACCCACATAGAAGCAAATAGCCAGTTTGATGCAGTATAAGTGCATTTAGGTTGGTTTAATAATAACCCTTAAAGGGCCTTTCTGTTATATGATTCATGCAAATAAAGTCAATTTGATTGGGACCTAGGTCTCTACTTTGTCATTCCTTTGGTTTTTCAAGGGCCTTTCTGTTTTAAAAACGTACTAAAATACGATTTAGTTTCAGTATTTAAGACCTATTTAGAAAACTGAGTTTATTTTCGATCATGTGTATGTTAAAGAACCATTAATATGTGGATTAATTGACTTCAAGTCAAACTGAGTATATTATCTTATGTACATAGTTGGAACAAGGCTTAGATAATGATGATGATGACTAATAGTAATATAAATATCAATACCAATACCAGATATTAGAGAAAATTTCTACAAAACTAGCAGATACTCTCTTTAATTTATACTATTATTCTCTTAATTCCAAACAATATATTTATTTATTTTGTCAGAAAAATAAATATTTATAAATGGCATATCTTAACAAATCTTACCATAGGAACACTGTACTATCAAAACTTCTATTGAACAATACAAGTATGAAAAAAGATACATCAATATAACTAAAATCAGAAAAAAAAAAATCAGTATAATGCTCATATCCATGTGTTTGGATTTTTAGAAATGAATAACCAAATTTCAGTTTACCATACGAGTGCTCTTATTCATGTTTATGTTGGGAATCTCAGGTGTCACTTTCACAATACAGGTAGGATAAAAAAGCTCCTTTCAATCCCCCCATATTAATTTGAATAAGATTCATATCCCTCTTTCACACATCGTTTAATTGCACTCTGTGTTTCACATGGCAGGTACCAATACCTCAATATGGAAACCATGGTGCATATCCATGCCTAGAACTTCTGAAGCAACTAGAGGGGATTGCATACATAAATAGCATGTCAAAATGGCTATTCTAATTAACAACTCAAATTCCGCAACTAGCAACAAAGAAAAATCGCCAGCTGTCACAATGAACTTCATCACTCTCCAAACACCGTTTAAATTAAAGCTATTAGAGATAACAGAGATCTTGTAGTTTGGATATCAATAATTCGATGACCTCAAACAGTGTGCAATATGAATAGTAACACTCATTTATCAAAAAAAAATAGTAACACTCTAAACATATTAATTAGAACAAGTGAACATACAAATAACAAGAAGTGTTTATCAATATCTTGTCTTCTTAACAAAGTTGTTTTCGACAAATCAAAAAGCACCAAGTTAGAGCTTTAACGAGTGTTTGCATACAAAGATAACCAACCAACCACTGTGCCTATCAAATTCTCCGCATATTCTAACAAATAAGCCCATTAAATGAAGCATTCCAGCTTACTGCATTAATTCCTAACTGGAATCGTGAACTACACCATTCATGTCGGTCTTATACCATAATCATCCAAATAGCAACCTAAATATGAAAGTTACTGATATGGCATAAAGATGAACCTCGTTCTTTTACATGCATCGTCTTTCTCAAAATCTGGTAAACTAAATAACAAAACTCTGCATTATTGTTAAATTTTCTAACGAATAAGCATAACAAAGCAGGTATGCAACAGTCCCCCACCATTTCCAAATAACCCCTATGTCGCAGTTAGCACGATCCAAAACCCCTAAACTCCTATACCCCGATGATAAAAACCATTAAAAATCTTCAGAAAGAAACGCTGAACGAGAGTTACTAGGGACCCATCTATAGATCATCAACATTGTAAAGCACGCTTCAGACTAGATTCAGATGTTACATCGCAAAAAAAATGTGTGGGTCCAAACCCAGAAATCCTTAATCAAAGAAACCCATTTCCAAAAACACGATGAAAATCCGAAAATACTCCTAATTGCGTTAATTAGACCATCCAATCAAGGATGGGTTGTTCTATTACCCCNACCCCCAAAAATAAATAAATAAGTAAATAAATAAATAAATAAACCCCCCCTAGCTTTCTGTTAGTTTTTTTCTCATTGGCTCGTTTTTGAGAGGGGAGACGGGAGGGAGGCACAGACAATCACTGTACAAGGTTACATGCACGACATGTCTAAGCACGCACACACAGTAGTAGTAGATGCGAGGAATGAGGGTAATGTACCTTTAAAGAGGGGAAATAGAAAGAACTTTGGGACGAAGATCTCCTTTGTCCATGAACGTTGGTCAGTGAAATTGGTGGTTTTATGATATCCTCCTGTCACTAGCGCTAGCTAATAAGAGATTAGAGATGTCACAACTCACAAGCTACCAGTTTTTTTTTCTTTTTTGTTTCAGGTGCTGTTGGGTGTATAGGTTGCGATGTGGGGGGTTGTTTGATGGGTACACAACCACGAGAGGTGCCTACTCCTACTAGAGAAAATTTGTGGCTTTCTTGAGCTTGTTTTTGTTGTTGAATTGCCTATTGCTAGGGAGGGATCCAAAGACCTGTATCGGCCCCCCGTTCTAAAGCTGGCTCTCCCCTTTATAAAGCTAAAGCCTAAAGGTTTTATCCTCCTATCCTATGTTTCACCAATTTTTCTAAAACGACGGATCTGCATCTCAAATTTGCAGTTTTTTTTTCCTCTAGGTTTCTTAGATTAATAAATTTTCCTTTTTCTTTTCCACGGGTCTTTTGGGGAGACGTAAAATAAAATAACAATTTTGAGCATGGAAAAAAGCAATGCTGTAGTCTATGCATCTAGATTGGGTCAAATGACTCGAATCTAGGGCATATGGTTGCATACTGATTACTGGGCTCCAAACGATATACCAGATTCACCGTCTTCGGTTGCACACGATAGGATTTGATCCACCCCGTACGATTTATAACGCAGGTAGGAAGAGAAGGCCAGAAGCGCGGACAAACTAGAAAAGCATTTCATAGTTCATACTATTCATGTATTTTCTTTCTCACGTGCACGCATAAGCCACGTGCAAAGAAAAAGAAATAGAAGAACGTATTTAAGATGGAAGACTTGAAGTATCGTATCAGGGTTGGTTCGGATCATTCGGATTGGTCCAAGTTTCGTGTTGGGTCGGCATAGGCTAATTCAGGTCATGGTTGACCCACGACCAGATGGGTCGATGTTCAATGATTTTTCACCCAAAATATATATGGGTTTAACTGTCTGGTTCATGCGATTAAATCATCTGGGTCAATGCCAATTTGAAAACGTTGGCATTAAAATTTGAAAATGGGTGATCCAACCCAACCTTACCCAAATTCTTCCCGAGTTGGGTCGGGTCATGTCGCCTTCTAGTTTGGGTCACTATATAAGGGACCTAACCCACTTTTTTGGGTTTGATCGATTGTTAGGTATATATATAAAGGGAAGCAAAGCTCAGTTTGGAAGGAATACAAATAGAAATACGTAAAGTGCAAAACCTTGTACTTTGTATGTATTTGTATTTGTATTCTTTCCAAACTGAGACTAAGGCTGTGTTTAGTTGCAATGCAAATAAATTTGCATTGATGCAAAATCATGGCATTGCAAATGATTTGAATGTAAATTCTGACTTATTTTTGTTTCAAATTTTAGCTTAGTTTATTTGACTGCAGTACAAATTAAGTAAATTTAGATATCAAGCAGAATAAAGTAAAATCCAACACAAAATTAAACAATAATTTGCATTTTTTGCGTTTGTACTCCCATGCATTTGTACTAGTGCAAATAAATTTGCACTGCAACCAAACACAGCCTAAGATGCAAATAATACAAGAGGTTTTAAAATCAAAATTAGTGAGTGTGGTATTTTTGGGGGTATATTATTTAATACTAGTCCCCACTTATGTGGCGCACAAGTTTTGTTAAGCGAAAGGTAAACAATAGAAGTAAGTATATAAGAGTATATAATTGTTTTTTATATTTTAACATTTTTAATAATTAATAATTATTTATATTTTGTATACTACTTTTAATATTTTTTTACAATGGCCCAGTTTGGAAGGGGTACAAATACAAATATGTACAGTACAAATTCATACAAAATATAAGGTTTTTCGCTCTACATATTTGTATTTGTACTTCCTTCCAAATGGAGCCAATACAAAAATAACAATAATTAATTTCAGTGAGGGTTGTTCATCAATATGATAAACCAACCAACCAGACACCTCGACTTGAGTTCATCATTTTTCTAATATTTTCGATCGGCTTTGGTTTAGAAATTTTCCAACCCAACCAAGTTGGATCAATTTCAGTTTGGCCATTTATATATATATATATAATACCATTATAATTTTTTTAATTTAAATTTAAATTTTTAAGTTTAAATCTTTTGACCAACCAATCAAACCAAAAATCGACCCAATCTAATACAACCAGAGTTTGTTGGTTTTCACTAATGGTCACTCGGTTTTGGGTGACCAACTCCCCAACATGACCAGGTCAATTTGGTTTGCCAAACAGCTTGCAACTAAACTAAACCAACCCGTGAACACTCCTAATCTCAACTAAATTAATGGTGTAATCTCTAATAAATAACAATAGTTATAATCTCCAATAATTATTAAAAATTTATAGAAAAATATACAATTATTGAAAATAAATTTATAATGAAAATACAATAAATAACTAATAAAAATACAATAATTAGAATAATTACAAAAATATATTAAATACTAAAAATATATTAAATTAGTCAATAAATAATGCAATCTCAAATAAAGGTTTAATCACTAATAAATATTAGTTAATAAATTATAATAAAAATACATAATTACTAAAAAAAAAATTACAACAAAAGTACAATAAGTACAATAAATTAAATTTAAAAAGTTAAATAACAATAGTTCAATCTCAATTAATTATTGAAAATTTTTTGTTAAATAACAAAGCAAAATAATATTTATACATAATTATTGAAAATATATTTACCAAAATAATAAAAATAAAATAAACATTAATTTATTATGTATAACTATGTAATAAATATAGACTAAGATTTTAAAATTATTATTACCAAATATTAATTTTTTTGAAAGTTATTTTCTAGAATTATTAATTGATATAAGTGAGATTAGTTATTTACAATATTATTTAGTTATTTAAATAATATCATATATTTAAATTTTTAAAATATTAATTATTTATTAAGTTTAATAATCTATATAATTATAATTTATACTATTATTACATAGTTTCATTATTTTATCCATTTAAAATTTAGTTATGTTAAATATTTAGTTATTTAAATGTTTAAATAATAGGTAAAATATTTAATTTTTTTGTTATTTTACTTTTATTCATTTGAACGTTATTACATAATATTAAATATTTTGTTATACAATTATTTATCTGTTTTTAATATTTTGTTATTTAAGATATTTATTTATTGGCATATTTAAATAATATTTAATTTTTAATGTTAAATTTGATTTTTTGAATAACATTTAAATTTAACAATCCATAAAATTATAATTTATATTGTTAGTACATAACTTTATGATGGATTTTGTAAAAATATAAAACTACTAATAATATGAATATTATTAAATATATTATAATTATTTTTTGTGTTTTTAGTAAATATTTTAATGTTAGTATATACTTTTGTTACAATATTTAAATAGTTTTGAAAATTTGTAATTCAGACTTTCTTTATATATCTATATATATATATATATATATAGAGAGAGAGAGAGAGAGAGAGAGAGAGAGAGTGGGGGGAGATGATAAATTGGAATTAGAGACGATTTGGGAGAAAGCGGGGGATAGTGGTGCCACTTGGCTAGACATTAGAAAAGCAAGTCCCTCTTTCTTAGGAATGGCAACGGGGTGGGGGGTCATATTCCCCGTCCCCAACCCCGATTCTAAAATTAACCCCCATCTTCGCTGTGGATAAAATTTGTCCTCCATCCCCGATCCCTGACAATGATGGGTTCCTCGTGGGGACCTGAAGCCCCGATATTTTTTCATATACAATATTTTTTTGAAAAAATAAATTTACTTAAAATAAATAAACAAATAATTATAAATAATGTTTTAAATATATCTTGATATATAAAAAATAATATAATAATATATATTTAATATATATAAAATCGGGGTTGGGCGGGGTGGAGACCTCAATCCCCATCCCCGACCTCGATCGGGGATTCCTATTAATCCTCGTCCCCACCTCGCCAAAACAATCCCCCATCCTCGACTCCATTGGGTCGAAGAAGTCGGGTCCCCATTGGGGATGGGGAAAATTGCCATCCCTACTCTTTCTTCATATATTGGTTGTTATAGAAAATTTAGAATATGTTGTTTCCTTATTTAAATATGTGAAATAAAAATAGAAAATAAAAAAGGAAATTATAAAGGGGGGTTTGAAGAAAGGAGATGCATGGTGGTGTGGACAACCTTGTTTTATGTGTAGAGAATATATATCATTTTGTTTCACTAAACTACTTAAATATACTCTTTAGTTTTCTAAACTATACCCTATTAGGTGGTCCAATCTGACACAAATAGGCACTCCTCTCACTAAGAATTTAGGGCCCTTTATATGTGAAATCAAATGCATCTTCACAAAAAAATTACAAATAGCCCCTACCATTGTGGTCCAATAGAACGGATTTCTCCCAACCATTTCATTGAATAGTGGGCTTATTTTTGGTAGAAATTTAGAGTTCCTTTAAAGAGTAGCCAATGAAAGGCCAAGAAAAACACAAGTCAATGATACAAGACAAAACAACATAGGAAACACCACAACAAAAACAAGCTTCATCCTTACACACTTCAAACCCATAATATATCAAATAATTATTTTTCATGTTTCATTCTAAAAACTAAATAATTATTTATTTTTATTCAAACGATTATTTTGCATGTTTTATTATAAAAATTAAACTAGCATTCAAAAAGTAAATATGTAACAAAAAATTCGAATGTGTTTATGGACATAATAGATCACCTATATACTTACTGTAAATATTTACTATTAGAATTTAGATCATAGTAAAAAATTAGAGAAATACATTAATATTTATAATCTAAAAATAAAAAGTAAATTAAAATTTTCACATGATATTTGAATATATTGATGTATGGAATTATGGACCATGTTAGATTTGTCTTGGCCCTACAACATACTCAACCTATAGGGTTAGATCACACACACACATATGTATGTATGTATGTATGTATGTATGTATATATATATATAACTATGAAAATAAAAAAAAAAATCAATTATTTAGAATAAATTTCAATTGATCTATGGAGTCCATGGTAGATCATCCATAGATTTACAACATAATAAATTTGTAGAGGTAGACTACAAGAAAAACCTAAAATGTTTACTTTTTTTCAATTTGCTTACTATTTTGGAATTTCTTCAAATGTTCACAAAGATGTACATACAATAGCAAAATAAGTGGGATTTTTTGCACAATAATAGTAGATCAACATACATAAACGTGTTTTTAAGCATCCAAACTAACAAAAAAACAAAAACAGTGGATGAAAATGTAAAAAACTAAAAAAAACACATTTATTTTCGCTCATTTTTTCACAAACTTGGAAAACATGTTGAATCTTGCAGGTTTATAGATGTTTTGGCGGATTTTTGCAAGATTTGAGTCTCTATGAAGGTTAAG